AAAGGGCAGGAAAGGGACAGCACCGCTTGACATTTGCATTTTCTCCTCTAAATGACGGGGGAAAGAGAAATGAAACAAAGAGGGAACAAAGGTGAATGAAAGATGACGATATTGTTGCGACGTTTTGGGAAGCCAGCCTAAAGAGAATAGTATTAAACGTGGTTTAAAATTAAATTTCTACGCGTTTCGTAAATCTGGGTGAGAAATGAACCAATCAACGTCGTTCAAGGGGTAACACACCCTCTGTAGAAGCTTCCCCTGACACAACAATACGAATTGGTCCGTGCAGGTGTGCACGAGTGTCTCGTTTTCAAGGGTCTGAATCGAAGCTCGTTAAAGTTTCGTGAACGAAACGTACATAGGTAGTGCGCGTGGTGACGGTACGCGTCGCTGAAAATTAACAATTGGTTTGAAAAGTGAAAAACCGAGGACACAGAATATACTCTGTGTTCTCTCTCTCTGTTTACTGGCACGTTTTCTGTCGCCATTTCAACGCTCTCTGTGCAGCATTGTACTAAACGGGATTCGTTCGGTGCAGCTCCCGCCAATCGCAGTTTTTCAATTTATATTTTATAATACTTTCTCGATCTTGAACGGATTCATCGTGATTTTTGAAAGAGGGGACCAAGACGGATCGTAAAGGTTTCTCTCGAGCTTTGTAAAGTAGGTGCGTCGATTAAAAAATCTCAGCTTTCTTTATTTTTTTTTTTCTTTTTCTTGGATATCGTTCTCGTTTAAAGAATCTTTCGAGTTCTTTCTGATTGAAAGAAAGTGATAGTCGCAGAATCGGAACGCTGACAGATCGCTGGAATGTGTGGCGAATTTCGTGCTTCCTGTCTGAAACGGTTCGTCCTTAGACCGATTAAGGGATTGCCGATTTATCTTCTATTCCTCGTGAAATAAATGAACAAGCTTGAATTTTGTACAGAGTATTTACACGAAGATTGGTAATTTTACTATTTTGCTGCTAAAGATGTTACTCGGTATTAATGGGAAATTTTGTTAAGCGATTAATTGCGAAATGATTAAAAGACAAATAATTAATCTAAAATACCCTGTACGTCAGCCAGTTTAATAGTCTCGTTTCTCGTACCACTTCGCTAAATGAACCGTTTCAATGTAAAGAGAGATTACCGTTTAAACCTGGATCAATATAATCTTCTAATCGTCGTATAAATCAACGACAATCCCCTGCAACCCTTAATCGTCGTGAAAAGTTGACGAATCGCCGTGGATCAAGGAACCCTCGCGCGATCTGCGAGGCTTTAGAAATTATTGAGAATCCGTATTTCGAGTTGGCTTGCATTACCAAGTTAATAAAATATACTAATAATAAATATATAACAGTGATTTAAAACGTCGAGACGAATTTGTAAAGCTAGAAAATTTTTAAATTAATCATTTTTATATAAGAAAGGTTAAAATGGACTCTATTGTACTATTCTATACAAAAATAAATAACTTTTTTACTACGCCTTTTATCCAAGTACACCTTAATGTTAATCTCGTTCGCAAATAGGCAAAAAATAATTGAACAATTATAGCTTCGACGCAAGCCAGCTGAAATAGGAGTAAAAGTCGTCCTGAATCGAGGACACGAGTAATTAGTAATCGGTTAGACTCAGCTTATAAGTATATACAAATTCGTCCGATAAGCCACGTGAGCGCTGTGCTTTGTTTTTTATTATCGCACGAATTGCCTGAAATAATTCAAACATTCAGCGCGATTCCTGTCTCGATCAGCCTACCTATCTAAAGAAGGGTACCTTAAAGCTATTATTAGGCCCGAAAGCACTTTGATATATAATCAGCTTGATGCCCGAAACTCTGCCTTGACCAAAAGGAAGATCAAACGAACGAATCGTCGACCGTACGATGACTTCGACCGGAAAATTCTTTCGACGACGACCATTGGACAAGGTCGAGGGAAGTTAACAGCCCATCGAGAAGGAGGTTGGTTCGCTTCTCAATCGCGAGATATCAGAATGAAGTTTGTGCGGAATCGGACGAGAAGAAAGGCGGGCGGGCACGAGCTCGGGCAGGTTTTCGAGTTTTAATCTAAAAATGGAAGACTTAGGGTAGGGCCGACGAGCGGCGAGGTTTGACCTAAACAGGGACCGTAATTATCGATCCCCTTCGATTTCGATTCAACCTGTAGAGAGGTCAAGATCTTCGACGCGCGTTCTTTCGACAGAACGATCGCGTGGCTTCCGAGACAATAATTAACAAACTTTCGATAGACTTTTAAGTAAACTATAAATGTCGGCCAGCAACGGACGTCCAGTACTCACTGGAAGATTACGAAGTTGTAAAAAGTAAACGGAGCAGGATAGAGAATTGAAAAATGGCACTCGTAACGAGATAGCAGAGGAACGACACTTAATGGGAGTTCGATGGAGTCTCGTCCTGGATCCACCAGCAGACAGGATCATTTATCACTTCTCATTTTCCCTCGTTAACGTCGTCTCCCGCTACGAGGAGCCTGATTTACGAGTCGACGTACGAACCACCTTGGTCGATACACGTCCAATTCGCGATATCGCGACACATTTAACGCGATATAAGTCACTCAAATTTACCGTATTATTTTTCTAACACTCTCCTTCAACTTTTCAACTTTTCAACTTTCAAACTTATTATACGATCACGAGCCACGCGATCAATTTGTTCTGTTCGCGAGACGGTCACATCCCTCGCTGAGAATTCACATTGCGATTCATCGAGGATGGAACGGTCCTTTGAAGATCTCTTGCTGCATTATACAGGAAAAGACTAGAAGACTCGAAGAAAAGGCCGCTCGACTGTGAGAAGAGGTAATTCTAAGGACGATCTACGAGTTCTCGAAGAGACCTAGCAAATTATTTCGATCGGTACACGCTGGACTCGATCGAGTTCAGACGGTTATGTTCTCTCTTTGTTTCTATCGGAATTACTATGACATCGATTTAGAACTTGCCATCAGAAGACACGATAAGGCTAAATAATTTCAATTAGACCGATCGAACGCTGACGTCTCTAACGATCCAGCAGTCTAGAGCTAATCTACGATAGAATCTCAGTAACGTCTGAGATTATTCTGAAGGAACAAAATCGTTGCACGAACGGCGCCAAGTTGAACAGAGCTGGTATAATAAAAGGTGAACAGCAAGGTCGATTCAAGGAATACGCGTAAAAAGCGTTTCGAGTTTGTTCTCCGTCCTGTTGGACGGATTTTTGGAAAAGTCTCCAAACACGGACAGTCTCGATGAATAGGCCACGTGCTTTTTTTCTTTATTATATTTATTAAGATTGAAACGAGAGCAAGCAGAGGATATTGAACGAAGAGGAGCCACAGCTGCAGCTTCGCTAGACGGAAGCGTAAAAACGATAAACTGAACCGTCGATTGCTCGAGAAAGCATTCGCATCCATTTGCATCTCCTTTGTTTCTTATTCTGTTCGCTGAATCGCAAACTCGTTTTACTCGCCTCCATTATTCAGCGGATTCTCCTTGTCTCGCAGTAGATAGAAAAGAAAATTCTTCGATGCCTTCCCTATCCTTGAAGGTTTATCTAGCTCTTATCGAGCGTACAGAATGATCCGCACGTAAGTGCATCGGCGCGAAGATAAAATAGCAAGAATATCACCGTAGAGAAAGAGAGAAAGAGAGCACCAATTCGAAATTCGAAGCCTAACTGGCAGTGCTTGAGGGAGACTCGAAACCCAAAGGGGTCGTGCTTAACAACCGGGATTCGATGTCACGAACAACCACCATATTTCTTTTCTACAGTCTACAGCCTCGAATCGTTCGAGTACCTTGTTACCTTCTAGCGTAGCACTCGATAAATACCTATATTGGCGAGTACTAGCCTTCCCTAGGGAAAAAGCCGATGTAGGGGAAGAAACCCCCGCCATTCGATACTGTATATTATACCCCGTTCACGCGATGCGAATATTCAATTTAATATTCATTTCGAACCGAGTTGATATAAAATGGGTGATCGACTCGATTCGACCCTCGTTTGTTAAGCTGCTTATACTTATGTTCTTAGGGAGGGAATTAGTCATCGAATCCCAGTAATCAGTCTCCAAGCACCTGAGAACCTAATCGATCGGAAAAATCATCGAGATCCAGCCTCTAGAAAAGGCAAGCACTTGTATCCTTATATTGGAACACAAACTTTTCGTTCTAGCACCAGATTGAAACGCAGTCGCATCTTTGATCGAGACAGTTTGTTCGAACGAGAGTTATGATTAAGGTGATCGACAAGAACCGATAGATCGTAGGTTTGATTCTTCGTTACCGACGAAGAGGAATAAACGATCTTGAGACCTGTTCGCAACTTTCTTTGACGTTATTAAAATTCTCGAATAGACTGAGGATCACTGAAGACCAATCGATCAGTCCGAGTTTGCACTGACTGCATCTTAAATCCCTCGAGGATATGGAAGGCTCAGTCTTCTGCTGATACATCTCGTCGAATCGAGACGAACAAACATATCCTTATCTAACTCGTCATCGATCTTCCAACGACAAACAACGTAAAGTGTAGACCGATCTCTGATATGATTTATGCTCGCTATAAGTGTTTCGAGTATCACTGCACCAAACTGGAGCGAACGACTAGTATCGTTTTCAAAAAGGAACGAAATTAAACGAACCTTCTAAATAACTCACCATCAAAAGAGCGTAACCTCGATATCTGGATATCTTGGATATCTCGATAGACAAATGAAAGGAATATCGAGCTAAAAATCAATTGGTCAATGGATTAAGAACGGCTGTCCCGAGCCCGGCTCACACCCTTGTCTCGTTGTATGGGCTGGACGAACTGGTGCCCTGGCGACGTAACCGATCATTGTCACCGGGCACGTTGAACGCGACATTGGGCACCGTGGTAGGGTCAACCGGTTGATAATGCACCGACTGTCCGGTCGGCTGCGATTGGTGAGAGTGGGAGGAAGACGAGGGTGGACCCTCGCTTATAGAGGTCGTCGAGGCGAGAATACGGCGACCGCGTACCTGGTAACGTTGGGGATAGCAGCGGCCGCAGCAGGCGTGCAGCAGGCCGCCCCTCGAGGCAGTGCTGTGCGCAGGGGAGGTCAGCGGCGACGGTGAGCCCGGCCTCTTCGGGGCACCGTTGTACGGCACCTCCATCTCCACAAACTCGCGATCCTGTAACAAACATATTCGTCTGTTGCAATATCGTTTGAAATGTGCAGAAAGAACAATTCTCAGTATATTTGTGTGTTGCATCACGGAAAAATAGCAAATTGGACGTGTACCGTCGATCGATTAGATCAGTCATTCTTAACCTTTGGGTCAATCCATTTTTATTTTTTCTCACAGAGTCTTACTACATTTAGACAGTCAGAGAAGTTGATTTTGTGAAAATTTGAGATTTTTGTGATGTGTCTCTTCTGAGTTATTTCAGTTTGAATAGTGCCGATTTTACGCAAGTTGTAGTCTTATTATTTAGAGAGTAGTAAAGTAGTCTCGTGTGAAGACTTCACCCCAAAAAAAACCTGGAAGATGAGTCTTAATTTTTTCTAGAATTGAGATTTTGTGCTATTACAACTTTTTCAATTAGGTTTTTGAGCTATTTCCTTCAGAATATACCAAAATGTACGCTGAACATAAAGTATAGTATGTTTCATGCAGATTAATGTGGCTTTTGTTTGAACTCGATATCTTTAAGAGCAAGGAAGTTATTACAGTGTCCGCAAACTTCGAAAATGTGCAAAATTGTCAGCCGTTCAAGAAAAAATGAATCATCTTAAAAATAAATCAGCCATCATTTCTGACTGTCTAAATAAGAGTTTATAAAAAAAATAAAAAATAAATAAATGTTACCAGCGGCATTTTAATTTTGTACTGAGTGATTTAGTATGGATTGATCCCTTTTCAAAATCACGGAACATTTACAATTTTACAAGATTTTTGCAGAACACGATCATAAAATAGTATATATATCTTTTATATTGCATAATAAATAAAAATCACATACGTAACAGGTTACATATCGGTCAATAGCAAAAAAAAGGATCAAGAAATTGTCACAACACCGGTTAAGAACCACTGAATTAGACAGTCCAAGTTACAGCTGAATACTTATGACTGTGAGAAAATAGATGCAAATAAAAAAGCTGCACGAGTGCGATACCGTTGTATAAGCATTGTAAAAGAACTTGTTAACATTCATGGTAACAGAAAATTCATAGTGGTTATTGTTGAAGATAATTAGACTGGTAAAACGAAAGATAGGAGTGTACGTATTACAAGTGTTCTCTGTTAACAAACGGGAAAGAATAAAGGTTGCAACTCGTTTCGCTCGTTTAATACATCGTACCGAGTTTTTTCTAGATCAAGGGTGGAACGCTTTTTACTTTTAATCGGAGATATAGTTCCAACAAAGCACACCCTGTAACTTTACCGCCTCGTAATTTAACGTCAAAACTTTCGATCCCACTCGTTCGAAGTTTTATAATCTGCAATGCCTCACCGGATATTCTCCTCGCCTGTGAACTTCACAGTTCCCTTTTCCCCACAAAAGAAACTGTACGCTATTCTACGGGATCGCTAAACAACGTCTACAATGTCTACACACATCCAACTACTCCTTTATCCATTTTTAATCAGCTACCGATGCGGCTAAGTAGATTGTCCACGTTATTGGTCAGCCTAAGCCAATCCCAAGCAAACGTTGACCAATAAAAACTCTACAATTTTCTTGTAAAGTCTGCCATTTTACGTTAACACATTTGAAAAATTATTCCACCTAATAAATATCGTAATTATTCGGAACACGATTGTTTCATTTATCAATTTCAACTTTCCACTTGCTACCTTATCAAATTAATTAGAGCGTGCTAAATGTACGATCATTTACTTTGAAATGTACGCCTTCGAACTGCTACTTTACGTTAATAATATAATGGTAATGCTATTTTAAAATTTTATTCCCTTTTCATTAGACAGGATATTTTAACGTAGAAGGTATTATACTTTCCATGAAGGAACGAAAAAAATTGATTCGCCAAGTAGAGTTTAATTAAAGGATCTTTACTTTTAATCAGACTTATCGATGCCCTCGAGTAGATTGTACTATGTAACCGCGTAGGCTGGCTGCAAGTAGAACGAGAACGTGCTTTGTCAGCCATGGATCCTTTCACCATCGAGCACTTTACGTTCGACGAAAAGAATCAATTGACGATAACGAGACGTTGATTCGATTCTCCTTCGCTGAAGCTAACTTAAATCAATCTGATGCAATTTCATTAATTTATCTATTCGTTCAACACATTTTCATATTTTTCTTTATACACGCATCAAAAGTTATAAATAGAAAATGGACCAACCGCGTCATTTGTACGCTTATTTATTTACAAGCTTATCCGTTAAGTTTGAAACAAATGCCATTTGTTAATAAAATAAAATATTATCGGTGTAACGTGTATGCGAGGTCGGATTTTAAATAACGAACAAACAACTTTACGTACGAAGTCATTCTTTACGAATGGTAAAAATAAATGGTGAAAAAAAAAAATCCAGAAGTCCGTGCAAAATTGTTGTGAGAATAAAAAGCCGAATAAATTCACGATTTAACGAACGCGAATCGTGGAGAGACCGTTTTCTAGCAAGTCTCATTGTTGTCGGACGAACTTTGATCCGTCGAGTATTACTCGAACCGTGTTGAAAGTTGTTTCTCGACTCAAATTACACAGCCGAAGGCAGAGTTCGCATTTGTTGCCGTGACCCGTGCATTTCCGGCTCGGTTTGGCCTCACCAACGTAATAATACCTGAAATAACGTTACGCCGAGTCGGGTCGAGTCGTGACCCTGTCAGGACTCGGCTGCCATTCTGTTCACAGTTAACTTACCGAACAAACGCTTGAAAATAAATTGACGTGGACTCACGAGCGAGCAGGACCTGCTTTGTATCTTTCTATCTCAGAATCCCGCGAGGAATTTTACACACGCGACTGTCGGCAGTGTTTCAATTCCGAAATGCAAACTGCATCGCTATACAGGACATTTACATATGCGACGTATAACATTCTTTTTTCAATAAAATATAGAGAAGGATGGCATCGAGTTTGTTTTCTAGAAAGAAGAATGTGTCGTTTAGCGGATATAACTGCTGCAACAAGCAGCGCTGAAATTCTTTTCGAGTGATTTACAGAAAAGATTGCATGACTGCTCGATTTCAGAGGATCGAATCTTCTTCGCCGTAGCCGTAAAGAGGCTGCACTCACGCGATTGACGTCGAGATCACTCGATAACCCCCTTTTCCTAGCAATCGAGTACCGTTTCCTTTGGGATTTCTACGATCGGTATCCTGAAATTGTACGATCCAAAGTACCTTTTCACGATTATGAGCATTCACGTATCTTTCTATACTCTGTCCAACGTAAGAATAACCTCGATTCGGGCATGGATTGGATGGCAGGAGGCGCAACGACGTTCGAAGCCCCCACTTAACCGCATACGTTCTTCTCTTTTTTCATACGCGGTGACAATTAATTCCTTATACACCGATATCGCCCCTAATTTGGGCAGTACTGTTGTCAGTAGGAGACCGGTAGGAATAGAGTCATATTAGTCTAAGGGCCTTAGTCCTCGATGCACCTCGGGCGCGTGCCATATGAATCGTACCCCATGGGTGACATAGAAATCTATTGATACGAGTGCAGCTCCAATGCGCCCTGAGAACTTCATACAGACACGGCTAGTAATTTAGTCGAGTGGGGAGTAGGTACTTATTACTAAACCGTTTAGGGCATAGAAAAGTGTCCGGACTAGAACAGTTGAGCTTTGAAAATCGAGAGTACAAGATATATCGCTTGACTAAAGAAATGGGTCCGGCGGGGGAAGACTAGTTAGTGGTGGGGGAAGCCTTATTAGTGCTGGGGGAAGACTAGTTAGTGGTGGGGGAAGCCTAATTAGTGCTGGGGGAAGACTAGTTAGTGGTGGGGGAAGCCTAATTAGTGGTGGGGGAAGACTAGTTAGTGGTGGGGGAAGCCTAGTTAGTAGTGGGGGAAGCCTACTCGACCAGAAAAGTCCAATGAAACGGATCTACTCGACTAAACCGTTTTACTAAACTACTCGACTAAACTGTAGCGTCCATACACTAAACTACTCGCCACTCAACTACCAGCCTTAAGGCCCTCGCGCAGGGCACAGCGAGTACTGAAAGAAAAGGGGCGTAGCCTAAGAAATCTGGCCGAAAAGAGCAATTAATTCCGAGGCCTGATCTAAAGAATACAATCGGAAATATTGAATGACAAGGTTTAAACAGTTCGCGCGGCATTGAAACGCCGTCGATTTTCCATTTGTCCTTTTCATTCGATCCACTGACCCGTGGAGGCATTTAAATTTCATGAATCCGATATAATCCAGGACACAAGTGTCCCGGAAAATTCGGATTATTTTACAGGGACGGGAGACAGTGAGAGAAAGGTTTATTCCAGTGTGAGCAGGCAATTCGTGAAAAATGATGGTCCGTTGAAGGCGTCGAGGCGAAAGAAAAACGAGACGTTTTTCGCGGTTGACTGTTTCAGTTTCGAATAACTGGTAAACGATTCTGAAAACCCGGGCAATCCACGTTTGTATCTTGAAACAAGTTGGAATTTCTCAATTTCTTTCTCGCTCAGATAAATTCGTCTTTATATAATCCTCGGGATGGCTGGTTGAGCGTGTAAATAAAATCGACAAAGGCTTCGTTTCGATCTGCGCTCTCTCGTTATTTCAAATCCTTTGAGAGTGTCGTCGATCGTTACTGCGTTTAGTAATTAATTAACTGCATTTAATATAAGCCTATATCGATGAAAAGTTTTGAGACGATAGGGTTTTGAGAAACACAGCCGTGTACGTGTGGAAGTTTGTTTGAAAGCAGTAACTTAGACGGTTCTTTGTCGCATAGTGGAGCAAGGATACATACACGCGTTCCACTTTGATCAATGGACAAAAGGGAAGCTGCGGTTCGGCACCTAGCCGGTTCTGTGCGATCAATCTTTTCTTCTGCACCGGCTCAATTTGTACAAGACCGGTAAAGACAATACGGGCTTAGCTAGGCGAAGAAAAACCCTCTTTGTTCCTCCACAAATCAGTTTTTGCAACAAGCACTCAGGAGTAATGGTCGTGAACACGAACCCTTTCTTATTCATCGTATGGAA